TTTTTTTTATTTTAACCTCAAGCCCCCAGGCAGTATTTTTTCCTTCCTGCAAACTGTTTATACTCCCAGCATCATATTTACAAGCTGTCAGACTGAGGAGGCCTAATTTGCTTTCACAGCATTGGGTCGGGTGCAGTGGGAGGCTAGTTTGGGATGGCTGAAGCACTTGCTGCCCCCCCGTTGCCTGCTTTGCCCCCCCACTATGAGTTGTCATTCCCACACCAGGGAAACTTTACAGCCCCGGCTCTACAGCAGTGTACAGCCTGATGTGTTAGAACAAAATGAAATCAACAGTAGTTTACATTGGTACCCGGGGCTGTTGTCTGGGCTGTTTAGGAATTGATACGTTGTGTTTACTTATTCCCGTGGTGGGAGTACCAGTCTTCAGAAAGGGGAGCAAAGGAATCGGCTGTTTGTCTGTCTGTGAAAGTCAGCTTTGTTACTCTGACAGGGACATAACTCAGTGGGTGTTACATTCTAATAAACAAAATAGCAATAGGGCCCAGTTTGGTTTTTGCCACCACACATAGAGACACTCGTGGTACCCTGCTTCTACCTGCAGGAATTCAGCAGGCACACAGAAAGATTCAAGTAACAGGCATTTGAGATGATAGAACGCCATTCTTTAAGCAATTATCATGAGCCACTTGAAATGCAAACATGAAAAGATTGACAAGGCATGAAATATTTCTTGCTTTTCTAATTTCGCATTGTGTTAGATCAAACTTTCACTGATTTTTAAAAAAAGTGCATAAGCATTAGATTAACTTTCACTGACTTCATTAAATCCTATTGATTTTGGTGTTACCCATGCTTAAGTTATGCACGCTTTTAAGTGCTGTTCTGAATAGCAAGGCATTAATGAACCAGGGTCTGGATTTGTGTATGCAGTTTAGAAACACATTTGGCAGCAGTCACGGGCAAGCAAAGAATTTGCCGCAATGAATAGCCCACACTGGTTGCAGTTTGTCATGTTAATGTGCTGTTACCAGAATCATATGTGCAAACTGAGTAACTGATTTACCCAGGGAAATGTAGTAGTTGTGCATGAAAAATTAGGAGCCGCTTACTTAATGGAACCGTATGTTTTAGATGGAAGCTTAAGCGTGTGTTTTGACAACATTTGTTATCATGAATGTAACAACTAAGTGCGAATAATTTGTGAAAAAAAATACCCAGGCATTAGATACTACCATTTTATCTGATGATGTTATCGGTCTCTAGTTACAGAAGTCGGTCAAGGACATTTATTATCTTTCAAAAAATAGAGTAAGGAATGTTTTGTATATGAAATTATCTGAAAATTAATACTCAGTTGCCCTAGTCAGGCTTATTAAGCTCTGCAGAGATATACATTGTGACTGCTAGTTCACTTATTTGGGAAGCAAAGTTATTTTCTTCAGAAGTAATTCAGTAATGTGAGTTATGGGTATGACATTTTTATCACCTACTGGTAACTGTGTGGTAGGTTAAACTTTATGCATTTGCCTGCATTTGTATATAGTTGAACAAAAAGAAACACATAATTCTGAAAGAGCTGCAGTGATTTATTTTACAAATTAGCTCATGCCTTTGGGATCCTAGATCAAAATTACTGTGAATAAGACAGATTTATTTTTCTGCGTGTGTGTTTATGCTATTTCCATAAATTGCAAAGAATTGCAAAAAGTAAATAGAAATAGACAGATGTGAGCTGAAGCCGGCTCTGAGGAAGAGGAGTGTAGAACTTGAGGTTGTGGTCTGTTAGCACCACAGGAAAAAGGGAGCCAGTTTCAGGTGAGGGAGGAAGCATAGAGGAAAGCTTGTTTCACCAACATGCAAGTCTTGTTATAAAGTTGGCACTGGGGGAACACAAGTAGCGATCTTATGATTGAAAGTCTGTGCTGCATTCAGCAGTGTAAGCAGATCCCATAAAGGTCTGTGAAGCTGAATAGTATGTAATCATCTCCGGGCTGGTGCACGAATTACTTTCTGGTTTTGGGCAAACTGAATTTGAAGGAGCTGGGATTTAGGGTCAGAATAAATAAGGGGCTGTGTGTTACTTGGGAAGAGAGGGCAGAAGCAAGACCATTTAGGCAGGTGGTCGGCATAGTTTGTTTCAGATGCAGGTATTCTTATGCATATTTTTAGGCTTCAGGGTGTGAAAATAGAAGTTCATTGACAGTTTGGACATCTGCAGTCTGGCATTTTGAGGTATATTTGAGTGGAAGGATGCAGAAAGAGCAATTAAAGAATGTGAAGGCAACTTCTGTCAGTGAAACCCTCTTGTGGGCATCGTGTAAGAAAGCAAATGCAAGGAATAAGAAACAACTATTAAGGAACAGAAACTAAGAGACAAAGCAGAGAAAAAGAATGTAGGAATTATACACAGAATTATACGCCAGGCTGTTATGATTAAAGACATAGCTAGGAGTCTTGGAAAGCCAAAGAAGAGTTAAATTGGTAGAGATACGTTACTAAGAAAGCTTAAGGATTTCCATTCTTGGCCACAAACGAAGAGGAGGAGTTAGGCAGGTAGGAAGTGCAACCGACTGGTTAGGACTCCACCAAACAGTGTTTGGTAATCATGAAAGAAATCATTAACGTTAAAAATTCTAGATAAGAAGGAATAGAGGGCACAGCACGTGATAGTCACCCATGCCCTCAAAAGGTGGGCAGCTTAGCGCAGAGGAACTGACAAAACCTGAGCAGGACTTCCAAAGCAGTTCTGAGGGAATTGTGTGCAGAGAGAAAATACAGATGAAATTTAAAACCCCTGACATTACAGACCCATAATGAATTGATTGAATATGTTTTTCATTTATTGTATTTATGCAATGATTAAAAAATAATAACTCAGAATGGTTGAGTCATGCTGAGACACCACTAGCAGCTAGCAGTGGCTGGGAAGATTAGTGGCTTCTGGCTTTTACACAAGCATAACACGTGCTAACAGCACATGTATTTCACCAGAAACTCTTTTCTCCCTCTCTCCCACACTTGGAAAAAATCCCCAACCCTAAGCCCAAACCACTCATTAATGTTTCAATTCCTTGTGTTATTTTTACAGGAAGTTTAATTTGGCCTGAAGTTTAAGTGAGACTTAAAATGTGGTATTTATCGTCTTATTTTGGAGGAAAACGTAGTCCTTGCCAACCTTTAAAATAGGTACTCGGTTAGGTTTTATGGCCATATAAAAAGCTTTAGGATGCCTCCTTGACTCCATTGAAGTCAGTGGGAACTGAGGCAGAGCAAGTCTTTGAATCTGGCCCAAAAAGAGGATTTTGAATGATCATATTGAAATGAATAATGGTGAGACCAGAGTTTATTTGCTGATATCTCTTGAATGAATTGGGCAACAAAATGAAATGGAAAATTTAGTTGTAGTTTATTCTATGGCCTCGATAAATATGCAGCAGTTGAGTAAAGAAGAAAATAGCTGTGCTTAGGATTTCTTTCCTTCTATCTCAGTCCACATTGCTACCCGATGGGAGTGCCAGTTTAAATGCTTTCAGAGAGGAATCCATGGAGAAATGGTAGGTCTTTGTTGATATCGATTCAACAATAAATTGGCATTCTTGGTTATACTGGCACTTGTCTATACAAGTGTAATTTTAACTTTTGTTTAAAACAATTGCTATTATAAAGACTAGAAAGTTTTTGCTTCTTTTTGGCAATCTTTTCAGACTCTTATCTTCTGGACTTCATTGCCCTAAGTGTGTAAGAGAGGACTTTCTCAGCCCAGGGTAACGCTCCGCTGTCTACCTTTCCTTCTTGCCTGGTAGGGAAGTGAGTGTTATGTAGCAGGCTGAAGTCCATGGACATGGCTTATTTCAGTCATTGCAAATGTGAGTTGATTGGAGGGAAATGATATTCTATTGGTTGTCATGGTCGGTTGTGGGGGAATTTTTTAATTGCCAAGATGCAAAGAATATTAGTTGGAAGACTTTTTTCCCCACTACTTATGAGTCTAATTGCGTTAAAATGGATAAACTCCGTGTGTTTGTGCGTGAGCACAGCAACTGAATTGTTTAATTCTGTTCTATTCTGTTCTACCTGGAATTTTGCAAGAAAGTAAGTGGAGTGGAAAATTCAAAGAAAAACCCCAGTCACATCAGCATGCATAGTATATGCCTAGACTCCTACCAAACAGCTGAAGTAATTGCCTGCTCCTTAAAGAAATGCTGAAAGTCGGGCTCAAGCTTATTTTTACACCTGGATCTCATAGTTGGCTGTGTTCGAAGGGAACCCTTTGGGAGTCAGGGAGTGTATCTGCTGCCGCACAGGGGCGGCTGCTTTGGAGGAGGGAGTGTTTGCAGGCTGTGGATGGCAGAGCCTGAGCCACCCCACCTCTCTGGCCCTGGTGGCTCTGGTGGAGGTCAGTGGGAAGGGCATGTGGATGTCACCAGTGGGACCCCAGCCAGGTGTGCAAACCTGGCTGAACCCCATCTGCTTATTAAGTCCTAAGCACCATGCAAAGCCCCATTCGAGTTAATGGGAGGATATACAAATTGCTTGGTGATTCGTGATGGGAAATGCTGTGGGTTCTATCTGTGGTGTTGGCGGAGCTATGGATCATAGAATCATAGAATGTTTGGGGTTGGAAGGGACCCCTAGAGGTCATCTAGTCCAAACCCCCTGCAGGAGCAGGGACACCGCTAACTAGATCAGGTTGCTCAGAGCCCCGTCCAACCTGGCCCTGAATAAATGCCAGGGTGCATATTGCTGCATATCAGTTCACCCCAATTAGCTGGGAGAGTGAAATGCTGCAGGAGTGAAAACATAGCAAAATGTTTCCAAAACCTTTAGGCAGTTTCTGCTATAGTTCTGGGAAAGAACAATAAAATGTTCCAGTGTTTTACCACCCTCATTGTAAAGAATTTCTTCCTTATATCTAGTCTAAACCTACCCTGGTTTAGTTTAAAACCATTACCCCTTGTCTTGTCACAGCTGGCCCTACTAAAAAAAATGGATGTTGCTAAGCTTACTACAAAGCGCTTTTGTATAGAAATACTTCAGTTTTAACATTGTATTGAATTCCAGCAGCTGTATATAAATAAGATGCATAATACTTAAGTAGCCAAAGTGCACAGAATATAAGCTAATAAACAGGATTTCTTCAAGTACAGTGTTTGGCAGCAAACATTGGTTTCCAAATACCTGTTTAATGTGCAAAAATGCATTTTATGATGACTTAGACTTTATGGATAGTGGTTTGCTGATCATTAGGATACTTTCCTTGTGGTAGTAGAGATTCTTAAGCTCTAGACTGCTGAGGCGCTGACATCTCCTTTAACGGAGACTTTTAAAAACAGGAGAGACACCTATCTGTCAGGTGATTTAAGTGCCTTTCTTCATTATGTCTTGAGACTAGGAGGTAAACTAGATCAGAAGCTACCCACCTGTATGTCATGTAGGACATTGAATACCGCATAGTATGGAGCTAAGTTTGTTGAGATGTATTGGACTAGATGATCTCTTGAACATCCCATAGATCTAATTCCTTGATTTAATAACATGGCCCTTGTTATGTGTATCATATCTGTACATATTTGTATGTTATTTCTTTTGAATAAATACTAATACATAATTTTTGTTCTAGTACCGTATCTGACCTACTTGGTTAACTGAGAGAATTAAGCAAAACATCCGATTCCTAATGCAAACTTACGTGACCTGAATTAGAGGAGTGTCATGGTTTAACCCGTCTGGCAACTCAGCACCATGCAGCCGCTTGCTCACTCCCCCCACAAGGGCATGGGGGAGAGAATCAGGAAAGCGAGAAAACTCGTGGGTTGAGATAAAGGCAGTTTAATAGGGAAAGCAAAAGCCGCGCATGCAAGCAAAGCAAAGCAAGGAATTAATTCACCATTTCCCACTGGCAGGCAGGTGCTCAGCCATCCCCAGGAAAGCAGGGCTCCATCACTCATAATGGTTGCTTGGGAAGACAAACGCCATCACTCCGAGCGTCCTCCCCCTTCCTTCTTCTTCCCCCAGCTTTATATGCTGAGCATGACGTCATATGGTGAAATAGCCCTTTGGCCAGTTTGGGTCAGCTGTCCTGGCTGTGCCCCCTCCCAGCTTCTTGTGCACTGGCAGAGCTGAGAGCTGAGAAGTCCTTGGCCAGTCTAAGCACTACCCAGCAACAACTAAAATATCAGTGTGTTATCAGCATTCTTCTTGTACCAAATCCAAAACACGGCACTGTGCCAGCTACTAGGAAGAAAATTAACTCTGTCCCAGCTGAAACCAGGACATATCATTGCAGAATTTTACAAGGCTTTTCATCTTCAAGTGCGAAATCTTTTTTCTCTATCTGAGCTGCTGCTAATTTACTATATGTATTGAGGGAGGGACCAAGACTTCAAAAAAGTCAGCTAAATGAAAGTTGCGACAGGTTCAGCTACTGAACTGTAACACTTCACACCAAGCTGATCCCACAGTGCTTTGTGTCTTTTAAACAGTAATTATTACCTAACTGTATCCTGCTCCACAATATGGATTTTCTCTAAAGTGCAGTTAAAATTTCATGGCGGCTTTCAAAAACTTACTCATTTCTGTTTCTCTACTGTAGTTTAGATCACATCTTTCTCTTTTTCCCCAGTGACTTCAACGTCATGAAGTTCATCTTTCATAGTCTTTGTTTTGCCGCCATCACCTCTAATTAGACTTTCGTCTATGATGTCAGGAAGATAAGAGTCTCAGTGTAAGGATGATCTCAGTGTAAAGATGATAAGAGATGATCTTTTTTTTTTGTTTGTTTATGACCATAGTGATTGAAAAAGCAGTATTATTTCCAAGTACAATGTTCTAGAAGTTTTTCATGTTATATCAATTGCTCTTCAGCCAAATCTGTCCATTACCCAAGGGCATGCTTTTTGAAACATACCCTTTAGTAGTCTAAGCAGCCCGTTTCCTAAAGCTTTAATTGAGTGGTGTTTCTCAATCTGAATCCCATTTCTTTGTTTCTGGACGGTGTTTACTGGAAAAAAAAAATATCTTGCATTAACTAGAAACATGCCTATCTGTTGCCTTTTAAGATTTTCCTTAAGACATTTTTCAGAAAGAGACTGTTAGGAAGATCCATAAAGAGCAGTGCTGTAGATTTAAACCAGCATTTTATTTAAAACAGCATTTTATGTTTGCAGGGGATATCACTGGCCATATATATATAAAATGTTTAAACAAAAAAATGCCCTGATAATAAAGAGCAAATGCAGTCCTAAAACTGGAGCAAACTCCTTCTATGCTAACAGTTGCTTCTGTGGATGCATTTGTGGGAACTGCTGATTCTGGATGGTTTGAGTCTTATGGAAAAGATTTTAGAACATTGGAGATGTATTTGCATAGTTCTTCCACAACCAAAACTAATCTCTTGATTCTGTCGTAATTTTGTTTAATTCAACCCTGTTGAACAGCTTGGCTAGAATGCAAGCTACATATTTGAGTGCCTTCTGGCAGATTTCTGTTAAATTACATCCTTAATACATCCAGTTTTATGATACAGCCTGTTGTCAGATTAATTAATATTACAGCTGGATCTAGTTAATTAATTTGCAAATTCCAAATGATACTGTTAGTTTAGAAAATGAACTTAAAGCCAGGGTAAAGAGTAAATCCTGATTACAGGGTATTCAAGTTATGATGCCCTCTTATTTCTGTCTAATTTGTGTCCATCTTGCTTAAACATTAAGCTCACCAGAATTTTGCATCTGTGTTTTTTGTCATATAATGGTAAACAACATTTTAAAGCCTAGTAAATGCTTTAGTTTTCCAGTCGGTTGAAACGGTATGCTTAGTATTTGAAAGACATTTCTAATAAAAAAGACTTGGAAATGCTGTTAAAAATTTCCAGCTGTAAAATGGTTTTGAGACTTATGCAGGATTCGCTGCACTCTGAAAATATTCCTGTTAGTTAATCCTACATCAGTAGAAATACATTTGCGCATGAATTCTTTTATTTCTTCAAAAGCAATGCTTGTTTCATTATTGAAGTTTTAAAAGTTCTTTTTATGAATTTTATTCATGCTGTATTGAGAGAGGTACCAAAAAATGGCTTCCTAACTATTATTTCTTGGAGTTCTGTATTTATGCTCCGTTTGGGAAATTAGAAATTACCTGGCAAATTTGACTCTGGAAGCCAAATAGACCATAACTTCACATTCTGAGACTGTATCCGTACAGCAAGTTGGGTAATAAATGCTTGAAATGTTCTGAGTAGAAGTGACTTGAATGTGTGCAGTGATAAAGCAGCACATTACAGTCAGTGTTGCTTTTGCTCTTACCCAGTCCACAGTACCTACATACATAGAGAGAGCAAGAGAAGGCACGGCGCCCGCTTGCTGATTAGGTATTAAAAGGGTTTAATATCCCAGAAACAGCACAATGTAGTGTTGTACAGAAATAGACTACTAACAAGTATCTCGCTCTTCCCACATGTATTGGGGGGGTGGTTATTTTTGAAAGTGCACCTGATGTTTGAACAGTAGTATTTGAAGCATATAATGATGCTGAAGGGAGGAACATAAAGGGTGCTCTTTGTTAGGTCATTGCCACTTGTTTCAAAGTAAAGCGCTGTCAGCTGTGACCAGAGTGGAAGAATAATGAGTATTCCTTTATTTGCAGCTATATGCCAGCCAGGATGCAAACATGGTGAATGCGTTGGGCCAAACAAGTGTAAGTGCCACCCGGGATACACTGGAAAAACCTGCAACCAAGGTAAGAACGTGAAGTCCAAGAAAGAGAATTTCTTCTTGAAATCACAGAAATATTGTTGATCCCCCTCCCCCTCAAATGCTGTGTACGCTGCCCGCGTTTATAGGGTAATGAACTCGTATGCCAGGTCTGTTACTGGTGTAGCTATTCTGATATTGGGACTGACGTCTGTAGAGAGAATGACATCTGCAGTGGGATAACACAGGGGAAAAATTGCTTTCATTCAGATGAAATCAATGAGACTAATGTAAACGGTGTATTTACATCCTCTCCTGAAACTGATTCAAATGATTTAAATCCTGTAGCTAGGGTTGTTATTTCATAAAGTCGCAATTTTCAGGTTTGAATAATGAAATAACACTTGTTTAATTAAAAAAAAAAATTATTCAGGCATTCTGATTTTTGTGTTTTTAATCCTGAACTAGCTGGGTACCAATAAACTGTAGTGTGTGCTTCAGAGTCGGAAACATAAAGTGTTCTCTTACTGAATTATAGTTTCATTGCGGTTTTTTGCCAAAAAGGATCTCCAAAACATGGAATGATATAATGACAACAGAGTATAAAACAGAATTATAATACATGATTTATTAGATTTTGATGCCTAAGACATGTTCACATACAAAGATGTCTCCGGAAGACTATTCTCTTTTCCCGCTGTCTCAGCCTACAGAAAAAGTTCACATTTTCTGAGAGTGCTGAGGAAGCATGGTAGAAAAGCGTGACGTTTAGAACTATGTTATTCAAAAATGTACCCTGATATTTGCAAACCTTCTTTTGACACGTTGATTTTAGAGTGAATTATTTTCTCTAACAATAGATACATATTTATTTTCAGATTTACTAATCCTTCCCAAACTGATGTGGAAATGAATGTTTCATTTTTCAGTTTTGCTTTAATTTTTCATTTATTCTGTCATCTCTCAAGTTATCCTGTCTCCTTTTCCCTTTACTCCGGGCTGACATTTTAAGGGATGGTTTGTTACAATTTTATTATTATTATACACCTGTTTTGGTCACTCTGGAACTTTTTTAGAAAACAGTGCAGTGAGCTAACAGTTGTTATATGTATATGTAACAGGTTTTATATGTACTAATTACCTTAATATCAACAGAACACTGTTCAAATTGCGGGAGGCTGCAGTCTTGAACTAAACTATTCACTTTCCACTAAATGCTAAGGAAGGAAAAAAGATGTGGTGATAAGTAATTAAAGGAAGCCTTTCAGGCAGTATTGATCAAATATTCTTGAACGGTATCAGTGGCAAAGTTGCCATGACAGATGTGAATGTGGTTTCCAAGATGCCTGCTGGCTGTGGTGTCCCAAATGTACACCAGCTCAGGTCACTACAGCCTATACCTATTCTATTATATGGTGAGACCCTTGAGCTGTTCCTGGGGTCAGGGTAAGTGTTCTTGCCATGTGCTGATTCCATGTTAGGACAAGACCTGAAAGTGCATAGTGTGTGATACAGAGTCTGCTTTTGCTGGGAGGAAATTGAAAGGGCACAGGGTAACCGCATAGGTATTGCACATAGGTAACCTATGTTATTATACCTTCATATAGCATCTGTCCTGTTCAGTCTGTGGGCCATCTTTCTCGTTTCTGTTCTGGAATAACAATTAGTAATAACAGAAAGGAGAGGTCTTTCTAGGATGTCTGAATGAATCATAGAATGTTTTGGGTTGGAAGGGACCCCTAGAGGTCATCTAGTCCAACCCCCCTGCAGTGAGCAGGGACACCGCTAACTAGATCAGGTTGCTCAGAGCCCCGTCCAACCGGGTCTTGAATGTTTCCAGGGATGGGGCCTCTACTACCTCTCTGGGCAACCTGTTCCAGTGTTTTACCACCCTCATTGTAAAGAACTTCTTCCTTATATCCAGTCTAAACCTACCCTGTTTTAGTTTAAAGCCATTACCCCTTGTCCTGTCACAGCTGGCCCTACTAAAAAGATTTTCCCCATCTTTGCTATAGGCCCCCTTTAGGTACTGAAAGGCCATAATCAGGTCTCCCCACAGCCTTCTCTTCTCCAGGCTGAACAAGCCCAACTCTCTCAGCCTGTCCTCATAGGAGAGGTGCTCCAGCCCTCGGATCATTTTTGTAGCCCTCCTCTGGACCCGCTCCAACAGTTCCATGTCCTTCTTGTGCTGAGGGCTCCAGAGCTGGAATGGTGCTGGACTGTAACATATCCTCAGGTTCTTGGTGAATGGCATTCTTTGAGTACAAGCACTGATAAACAGGCTTTACATCTCATCTGTTCATGGGCCTCGTGGATCAAGCCATATTCCAGGGACCAGTCTAAGAGAAGAACCCAGCCTCACAGCAGAATTGTTGAACCCTGACTGTGTGATGATGCCTGGATGCTTGTCCTTTTCCAGTGGCACTGCAGCTGCTCTGGCAATCTAGATTCTTGCTTTAGGTCAGTCAGAAGTTAGGATTAGCTGATACTTCTTTTATTATGTTGCTATCACCAGCAATTAAATTGCAGTGACTTTGCACAAGAGCTAACCATGTGCTCTCCCCGTAGCATTCAAATCTGAGTGGCTTTAGTGTTTCTCTTCTAGCTTTTTGATCCAGCTTTACAGCTGTAACGGGTTAAGAACTGAGCAACTTGAAAGAAAATACCCTGTGCCAGCTCTCTCATTTATAGTAATAATAATGGAACTAATACTTCTTTCAAAATGTGTTAATCAGAAAATTGATACCTGCTCTTCAGTAAGATCTATGTTCACAGACTAATACAAATAGTTGAAAACTTGTGATTTTTGCTAGTGGTCTAAAGCACATGCAGGTTAACTTCATGTGGCTGGGAAAGGTTGTCTTTATGGAAAGAACGTAAGGCCACTTTTCTGTAACTTCTCTAAAACTTACCCTGCATGTTCCAGGAACGTGATGCAAAGTTTGCAACTTTCTCTTTTTGTAATGCAATTCTTGTCAGCACTTGAAAGATAAATATGTGTGTGTATATATATGTGTCTTCAGTGATGAAGTAATGCATATGACAAAGATCTGGTGATTTCATTTTTATTATGCCTTCTTCCCATCCTGTGAAGATGAGAACCTGTATGCACCTGGTCAGAGCAGTGAAGCACTTCTATTCCGACCCCTGGATCATCATGCAAGAAATATAGCATCGAGGGGTGAGATGCTCCTGTATTTCAGGTGGCGTGCTCCTGCTACCTGCACGGCTTGGAACAGTAATACCATTTCTTGCAAAGGGGTTGGAGGCTAATAGACCGATGGCTGTGATGCAAAAGCTGAACCTGCAGTGTCATTAGCATGCAGAGCAAATAACTGATTGTATTTCCTAGATGTGTTGCCTGTATTCCAAAAAGGCTCAACTCTCCATCATACTCATGGTTGTAACTTGCTTTTCTTTCTTTCCTCTGCTCTTCTTTCAGGATCTGCACTTGTTATTTGTTTCTGAGTTCTTTTGTAAGGTGAAAATAATTGGAATTGTTTATCAGGTTAGATAAAGACAAAACTGTGATTTACATAAAGCTGGAAGTTGAAGTAAATGAGGGTTGTTAACTTCTACATGTGGCAGCTGTTGATAAATCAGACTAAGTGATGTGAACAAAACTCTGTTAGGGTGATATAAATCTCTTGAGTTTGGCGTGGTAGTGTGATGATAGTTGCTGGAAGTGAAAGCTGATCTACTGTTTATGCTGTGGTTATAACAGTTTAATTTCTTACTTGGTTTCTGGTCCCTGGTTTTCTATTTTCAAAGTCTGAGTAAATTTGATATTGAATATTTGCCTCTGTGTTGCCTGATCCAAATTAGCTAATAGGCAGAAAAAGGCAGAAAAGGCCTGAGTGCAGGAGTCTTCTGCAGAAGCTAATTAAAGAAAAAAGCGGAGTGAGTGTATTGCATCTTCCTAGGAATAAGTGCCCCATTGCTAGGTGTGTGCTGAAGCTGGTCATTATCCAAGGTCCTGTGTGGTGCCACACAGTAGCCAAAGTCATCACATGTGGATTTACCAGTATAGCACTCTTGTCCTTGCCTTGCATTCACATTTTCATTTCATTTCTTTGAAAATAAAGTACTTGTGCTCAGCAGCCTGCGTTTATGTTACAGACCTGCTTTCCATAGTGTCCCAAACCGTCTGTCTGCTTTCAGGTACAGTACTGTCTTACGGTATTTTGAAATGAAGAATGCTGGTTTTGCATTGACTGTCCAATTACAGGCAACTTGAGAGTTTAAGTAGTTGAACAATGAAATTCTCAAGTGCAGGACAGTGAGTGGACATTCTCACAAAGCAATTAAAAGGATTTATTAAACGTTCTAATAGTGTTGGGCTTTATATTTTAAATTCCAGCGTGAGCTTGTAAGTGACTAAAAGAAATTATGTTTTATTAGAAAGAAAAATGATGTCAAAGTGTTATTACCCTTTGAGTTTATACATTTTAGCTTTCAATTTTTTTAGAGGAAACTTCTGCTGTTTTCTTACTTCTTCTTTTGATGCACAGACGTTTATACTGAGATGTTAGATGTTGCTTGAAATACACAATTGATAAGTAACCAGCATTTGTTCAAGAGGTATGTTGCTGTGGCTGATTTCTGTTGACTGCTAACATTAGCCTGAACCTGTTTGTGGAAAAAATAGACCTTACTTAAGGAACAAGAAACACACAAAGAGCATATAAAT